ATTTATAATAAAAAACTTTTTTAAGACCTTCGTTTCCTTTTTATACAACGTCCATCATAATGTAGTTTAATGACAATTCTTATTGTTCGAACTGTCGAGAGTCCAAACAAAAGATTCCTCATTATATTATCCTTTGTTATCATAAATATAAAAATTGATGAGTATTCAGTATACATAATAAAAGAAAAAAGTTTTAGAATATAGAGAAATAATTTTAAATGTAGGAATCATTTGAATCTCAATGATTTCATTTAATATTATATTTAACACCATTCTGCTTCCACATCAATATAAAATTCTTTATCTCTAGTCATATTACTTTTTTGTCTATTTAATCATACTGTCCAATAAATTTTCATATTTTCCTAAATTTTCCAAAGTGATTTTTGTAGATTTTCCAGCACTGAATACGATTCTGAAACCTATTTTTCTCAATTGACCTTAGTCTGTATGGATTTCAAGCCCCAAAAATCAAAGTTTCTCCAAAAATTGTTTAAACATTTTTAAGCATTTATAACATTATAAAAATATTATTATTTCTTTAAAATCTATATATCACTTTGTAAAAACTGATTTTCTACAATTAACCTTTGTACAGCCTATACAATTAACATTCAAATAATTTTAAAATTGAAAGACCTAACTTTAAATTAATCTTCCAAAAACTGAAGACGATAAAACGCTTGTATTTCCAGATTCGTATTCAAAGCAAGAAATTCTGCAAAAATCATTCGTTCAATATTGCAAATCAAAATTCATGTTGAACAGTATTTCTAAAAGCAACGATCCTCATCAAATAACATATTTCCATTACAACAGGTGTCTAATTGTAGACAATATCCAAATTCCTCATCTGGAAGAAGGCAACGCATTGTACGGAGTGCGTCGACTTTAATGATCGGACTCGGCTCTCTACGAATCCTTGCCGAGTGACACCGTTCCGTGCCACCATTACGTAAAACCGTCGGCACAAGGGGCGTCGAGGAGGCATGAACAGCAACGCGGGCTGAAATGAAAACCGTATCCGTAGCGAGCGGTTTGCGAGTCGTTCCGAGTGATCCTGGGCCGATCCACGGGAAAGAGAGATCGCACGTTTCATCCTCGCAGTGAAAGCACAATGAGCCGGGAGGCTGCGTCTTTCTAAATTGAAAGGAAGTCGGAAACGGACGCGATCGAAGAATCGCTGTAAGAACCATTATTCACTAACTCGGCGGCGAAATGGCGACGAGCAGTCCCGGGCAATCGATACATTTGAAATCTCCGCGGAGTCCCCGTCAGCTACCTCAACTCGCTCAGATCCCGATCGGTGGCCATAAGAGTCCCACGCAATTGTCCGTCACCAAAACACCCAGCACGCCACTGGTGTTCGAATTCCCGCCAGAATACTACCCCGAGATACCCAACTCGAACTTCGACTTCACAGAATTTGGCCGCACGAACGAGTCAGAACGTCCACCGAGGAGTCCAGGCTACTACAGTCGCAAAGGATGCAGGAGCCCCAAGAGTCCGAATAGGGACCTGTTGCACTCGCCGGGCCGAAAGTTGCCCTTATTCCAGGTGACCGAATCGAGGAAGTGTCTAGGAAAGACTATGAGCTATCCACCAAAGAGTCCCATCTCTGAGCCACCGATGATCCCAACTAGATCGTCTAGTTCCTCGAATTTCGGCCCGAAGAGCCCAAAACCATTCGATCACAGAAGAAACTCGTGTTTCGGATTAAACGGATCGAAGAGTCCTATGTCGTCGACGATCGTCACACCGACCTCCCACGGTCTGCCCAGTCCGAAGTATTCTGAACTGAATATAGAACATCAGTCGCAGAACAGCGGGAATTATAAGAACGGTTCGAGGACTTCTTCCGTGGAAGGCTCGTTTAAAGACAGGAGCTACAGCCCGGCTGAAGACAAGTGCGCGAAGAAAAGCGGCCACTTTAATCGGAGTCAAGGATGCCTCGACGAGACTGGAAAGGGTCAGAGCAATGGGGACGACGCTACCTACGGCAAGAACATGTCGAGGAGGTCCACCAGCGACTTGACGGAGATCGAGGACGCGGACACGGAAGTGACGCTGTTGTCCAGTCCTAGAAGAAGAGGCTCGATGAAAGGTGGACTCGGTAAGTGGTTGTTCCGAGATGATTTTTGTTTGGTTTTTCTTCCTGTCGCACGGTGTCCTCATTAGCTACTCATTGTAGGGGGCCTATGTAGGTGTCCTACTTGATGCACACTCGGCAGGTCGTATTATGCAACGGCCAGTTTAGAGGTGGACTATGTCCAGAAAGTTTGGACGTGTACTAACTCTGACCCTGTTTTCAAGTCCGGTGAATTTTTGTGCTCCTATAATCGTTTTCGCTGAATCAGTTCTGTAGACCTCCTTCTTGTTTTTGAAAAGGTGAAGCACAGTTATCCGGTGCATCAGATACGAGAAAGAGGTTTATGGGAAATATATGTTATACAAGGTTTTTTTTTTAAATATTTTTGTTTGGTCTACTTTATGAACTTCTGTATTCTCTCGGCGGGAAATAAAGTTTTCAATGATATAAATGTGAAGATCGGAATTGGTAGTTTAATTTGTTTTCATTTTCCGATTAGATTGACTTGTTAACAATCGGTAAACTTTAATAAAATCTTATTAAGGCGTGAGAAAAGAAAATTAATGAACTTCCAGAGCTTGTTTGCAGTGTTACGTTTGTGATGGAAAAGTTAATTACCGAATTTGAAAATATTAACCTTCCAACCATGGATAACATGGAATTCGCGTTGTAAATATTTTGTAAAATATTCTCGCTTTCAAGTATTTTATCTGACTATTGTTAGTTGTCATCTGTCTCGTTATTTATTAGTCTGGTTAATTAGTTAGTTTTTGTATAATTCTTAGAACGCATTTGCATAACATACGAAATTAGCTCGCCATTTCATATCGAAAAATCAAACACTCGCCCGCGGTTAGAGGGTTAATTATTGATTTCTTCTTGCGGTGGGATTTTTGGTTCGACGGGAGTGCATACGGTGATATATTATTATTATTAACAATGCTCAATTATTTGCACATTAAAACAAAACAACGGCTTCGAATTTAACGAGATAGGAATTCAATTTTAATTAGATGTTGTGTCGTATAAAGATATCTTTTATTCGGTGTTCAGCACTGTATTTAAATTGGTTATTTCTACATAATCATATTAATATTATAGCAGACGTAAGGATTATAATAATTTAGTTTTTACTTTATCATTTACTTTCAAAATTATTATGACACAATTCGTTGATAATGATGCTTGCGGATTGTAATTACTACCTAACCAAATTCATAATTTTGTTTTCGTGAAATATAGTTACTGTAATTCATAACAACACGTAATAACCTACAATAAACATGATTTAAAATTTTTTGATAATTGTTTATGTAGAAATTAATAAGTATATTCTGCATTAGTAGTAATCACGATTTTGCTGTACACGTATTAGGGAACATGTAGTTATTTTCGTTCAAAAGTCAATAGTAATTGATGTTTGAAATAATTTATAATTTACAAGTTACATTAGCAAAGTATAGTAGTTTTAATTTATCTCGTAGTGTGTAAAGCATGAAGTTCGAACTCATGTGCTCAAGACTTTGTATTATCCTTTTAAAGTAGTAATATAGATTACATAGTCATTAGCAAAAGTACTTATATATTAGTAAAAAATAAAAGATAAAATGGGGCCATGAATTCTAAAACAGTACAAGTCTAGTAATTACTATTCCAAGAAAATCAATCTTTTCTGTACACTTTCGTTAATTTAAAATCAATTTTGATTATTTTTGTTGTGAATATTAATTATACATATACTTCCATTGTGGACACATTTGTAATAATATTAGGTAATTGGCTTTTGCGTAAAAAGCCTTAAAAAACCATGGACTTCTGCTGTTTTGAAAATCATTGAAAAAAGTATTATCCCACTTACCAATTTAGTAAATATTTTGATTGAAACGAACAAATTACATTTTATAAATAGAAATGTTTATTCGCTATCCCACATTTCACTCTGCGAATCATCATTTTTAGCTTTTGAAATATATTCTTATTTTTATAATAAATTCTCAAAGTATGAACGATAATTTGGGTTTATCGGTGACAAATACTTTTTTATATTTCGACATTTTTAAGGTTTTAGCTTAATTTCGTTCTTACAAGCTGATTTCATTTCCTGAATATTAAATTGGTTAGCACTTCCTTTAAATTGTTGTTCTGTTTACAAGTATAATAGTTTTTTTATATTCAATAATTTTATATGAATCTTCAAAATTCATTTTAACGTTCACAGTATTATGTTGATCAATTTCAAAACTGCACATGTTAAGGACTTGTGTTGGTTCGAATGTCATTGTTCTTAAAAAACATATAAGGAGTTAAATTATTACACTTTTCTAAATATCATTAGAGAAATACGCTAAAAATCGCTACGTGATTAACTCATATAGTACCAAAAGGTGGACTTGTACTGTTTTGGAATTCATGTCTTCAATTGCTCTTCGTTTGAGTATATAGGCAGATAGAAGCAGATTAATTACCTAATTTATTTTATATCAATTACACGCTATTTTTTCGACTATTCGTTCGAACGAATTGCCTTATCGTATGCAGCCGTTCCATAATACGCGTTTCTAGTAAATTTGAATTTATAAATCTCAGTTACCACTATAACCGGATTAATTAGGTAACTGCATTACCTAGCTGTCGGTTACGTACACTGTATAGGTTACAATAGGTCACTGAGAATCTAATCTGATACGGGTTAGAGGCGAGATAGAACATCTACTCGCGATAGCCAAATCCTTGTTGATAACTCGATATCACGGAAGTTGCTAGTAGTAGGTATGATTTAATGAATTAATAAATTAGATACTATATCTAACACATTTGAACATTAATAACTACAAAATGTATGCTTCCGACTATGACAAAGGATTCTGTGTATACAGATGTTTACTCCGTGGTTGATTAAATTCAATTAATGGATTCAAGGAGAAATAATCTGATAGGATATCAATCGTTTAATTAATAATATATTAAATAATAAATATGAAATTCATTTACACAAAATGTACGAGTGTTCAAAAACTCTAAGCTATAATTGTTTACATGTTTACGAACGAATTCGATGATGATCATTACGACCTAGTATTAAATTCTGATAATGATAAACTAGCCATTATAGCATTGTTTATTCTGCAAAATCAGATTTTTATTTTTCATTCTTCTATTCCTTAATTTTACTTTTACTGAAAGATTTCGTTTGTAAAATTGTGCATTGAAATCAAGAGTTTTAATTTTAAGTAAATATTTCGCGAGAAATGAACCGATAATGAAGATGGATTTTATTGAAGTCCACTGAGCTTCCAAGGAGAATTTGCACAAAATTGTATTAATTTCGTCCGCGGAATCTTTTTTGCGTCCGTGGAACGCGATAACGAGACACTTTTTTTGCGAATACAACGGGAAGTCTCCACGTTTCGCTGGTACGTGTTGAATCTCGTAATCAACGAGAATTGTCGAGCGAAACCGCGGAATACGAATAAATGCACGTACATGACTTAAATAATCGTCTCAGTGGTGGTAACGCCGCGAGGACAGGCTACAACAATAAAAATAAGCGAAACGTGAAGAAAAAGCTTGTGCTGTTATCGTGCCTGCTGTAAAAATAGGGACAATCCATTCTGCGAACAAAGTATCAGGTTTTGCGAACAAACGTCTACTTCTTTTTTCATTTCTCCGCTTAAATCATGTCGTAGAACGGATAAAGCCGATTATAATTATCGACGCTGTCCATATTTTTTGTTATATACATCATGAATATATGGGGTGGCAGATACATGTTCTTCAACGTATTATATACGTTCACCGAAATATGTGTAATTTAAACAATCAATAGCACAGTACATTTTTAACTTTAATATTATTAAATACTATTAATTTAGTAGTTATTAACACCTTGCCCTATGATTTCTTAACCGATTACGCTCAACAGAGACATTTTATTGTACATAATTCATTAAAAAAAGGTAATAATTCTACACTCATTCTATGTATACGTTTACTCAGAAGCATTACAATTAATAATAGAAAAATAATATTCAATTCGGACTTGAAAGAATTAAATGACATTTATATTTGTTAAAGTCAATTTAAAATCTATATTTACGAGTGTCACACAATATTTTAGGATAAGGTATTAAACATTAATATATTTTTAAATGTTATTAATTTAGTACAATTATTGAATATTATTAAATGTTATTAATTTAGTAATATTCAATAAGTTTCCTTCTTAAACAAAAAATATCTACAAGGAAAATATATCAATTTCCTATCTATCTGACGTTTCGTTGAACCATTGCCTCTCGATCGTCAAGCAAATCCGTGAAAAAAGGTACAGACCAACCAGATTAATCATGGTTTATCTAATTACGTGAAACTCGTAGCGCCACAAGGTGTCCCAACACGTAGACAAAAGGGGGATGAAAAAAGAAAATCAGGCCGACTAGGTGTAATCATTTTTCCCGTCTGCTCGGCCGGATGGGATTCTCATTTAAAGGTCGACGAATGAAACGAGCCTGCCCTCGTCTCTGTCCTTCATTCAGTCATTTCTCGTTTCTTCCCCACCGTTCGTCTCTCATCTCCTGTTCTTTTTCGCTGCGGAGTCTGAAAGCTAGAAGGCCGGCTGTATTTTGAGAACCTAATCCTGTAATCCTCTTTGACCTTTAATCCGCTCGCGAGTTCGACCGTCGCGAGGATCGAGATTCGACACTCAAAAGTTTAAGTCGGCGATGATCAGTTGCCACTATAAATCGTCAATTAACACTACAAATATCGAATAATTAAATAGATGTTTTGAAATTCCTCCACAGAAACTCCAAGAATGCATCTATTGTGATTTTAATTGATTTACAATTCAGTTTGCGTTATGCTAAGTCAAATTCTTTAATAATTTCTCAGAAAAACATCTGTCACCTTTTTAATAGTTGTAAAAAGAAGAAATTAGGAATGTGTCATTTTGACCCGGCTGGTAGTTTTAGTGTTAACGCGTTTCGCTGTTGTTCGCGTTAACGATACAGTGATGCTAGTTTAAATTACACACAAATCTGCTCGGCTTAATTCCACTGCACCATCCTTACTCTTCCCCCACTACTCACTGTCTCCAGCTCAGTGTAACGTGATCTCACTAGACAGGTATAGAAATGAATACAATGAGGGGAAGAGAGACAGACACCGGTCAAAGAGATGTATAAACATGCAATAGAGAATATTTCAATTGCAATCATTTTAACCTTACCTTCTCAATCGTAGTGCGAAGGACTGTTGAGATTCTTCTCATTAAAATGAGTCCAAGCACGACGTGAATCGGCCTAGTTTTGTCGATTTGGAGCAAATAAACCTTTAATTTCAATAATTACATTAAGTCGATAAAACTAGTTCGATTTCCATCGTGTTTGGACTTATTTCAATCACAACAGTTTCAGAAATTCACTGGCAATCTAAGAAATTCTACATTTAAGAAGGTATGGCTGAAATTACTGCAATTGAAATTTTCTGCATTACATATTTGACGCGTGCGGTATCGTTTTGAAGTCCCGTGTCTCAACCCTCGATTGTCTCTTGAACTGTGTCTACCCTGCTTTCGCTCCCTATATCGATTCTCTGCCTTTGTCAGGCTATGCTCGAGTCAATTTCTGGAAGCACATAGCTTCCTTCTGTTTTTTCTGCTCGGTTAAATTCCACTGCTGGGAACCGAAATTGTGGAATTTAAGTGAGCATTACTGTACCCTGTCTGCGACTTATCTCTTTCCATCTTTCGCGCAGCATCCCAGGAATTATTGGCTCCCTAGTCAACGTATCTGTCATTCGTTCATCCCCAGATATCTCTTTGGGAGCAGCCACGCGCCGCGAATTTCTCGCCATCGTTTGATTAAATCCTCTGACATATCCCTATCCTACGTGTGTTGCAGCCTACCTAGCGTCCAGGCGGGGCTCACGCGACAGCCAGTGCTCCAATTTGTCGAATGTCAGCAACGAGGACGTAGGCCCGCTGAATTTTCAGGTTCACCCGCGCGGCAGGCAGCGCAGGACCTCTAACTTCCTGGAACTACCAGGTAAGGATATTTCTCTTCGGTAAGTTCGCTGAAGGCGATTTTTCTTTGGTAAACGTGTCTGGGACTCTGGTATACTGTGCTCGGGGAGAAGGATGCTGTTGATGGATTGCTTGGAGACACTGAGATGAACACGTTTGTCGTGGCGATTGAAATCTTTCGGTTGAGGGTAGTATAGTGTAAATATGTGGATATCGGGAATAATACGAGAATATAGAAGAACTAACAAATAACTATATTTATTAACACTAGGTTTGCAGACATTTATTGTATAGTTTATTCTATTGTTCCTAGCAAAATAAATATTCGTTTGTTTAAATTTTAGAAATTCTGAAATAGACGATTAGGATACATATTCATGCAATTGCATTGATCAAAATCGACGTAAACATTTAGTAAATAATGTTTATCAAATTCAATATGCGTCAAATTGACGCGTTCCATAAACCTAGTGTTACTAACAAAACAAGTAACGTTTAAATATAAGAAACTATATACTAACGATGCACAACTAAAGTAACACACAACTTTCTGACACGAAGGCTAACGCACGAATCTCTCTGTAAAGACTATCTTTCGGGCATTTGCACTCAAGAATCATTCTCTCGCTCACAATTATTCTCCTCACTCGCACTCTCCACAAACCCTCAAACACACCCCTTAAAAGCCGAACTGGAAACTTCGTGCCTACGACGCTGTACAGTCCACGTTCCATTAACCGTTAGGCTTCCCTCCGTTATTGCCTTTCGCCCAAACTCATTCTCACATTCACGCTTCTTAAAAATATCCTAAGCTACGCTAAAGATTCTAGATACAGTAGTATTTTAGATCAACTGGCTGTGAAGTTTTTGATAGTGAATTTTTTTTTCACTTCCCAAGTGAATTTTATGGAAGTTGCTGCAAAAGGTTGAACCAAGAGTCCTCTAAATCTACTACAATTTTTAGAATAATTTTGAAAGAACTTTGATCAATTTTAATAAATAAATTTTACAAAGGATAATTAAAAACGTCAAGTACATTGTTGTAATTTCGATCCTTCATTATTCAATGTTCTCAATATGTTTGACGATTTTTCTATGAACATTTCTCTACCGAAGTTTTTATTAGAATCCGAGGATGTCACTTCGCTGTCCTCCCTTGTCAGCTTAGATAAGGTAAATTGTTTCGAAAGGCAGAACTGCTTTAATTGTCACGATGACCTTATACCGAGACAAATTTCTGCGAGCAGTGTTCCCGTCACGTGGAAAGTTTTTTAATGGAGTTGTGACAATTGAACGATAGTTTCACAGAAAGAGGGTCGAGCTATCAGATCACGCATTGTTCCCGGCGTTTTTAATCGTGCGTTACTGTTTATATTGAATCGCATCGGAGGTGGTGCGCTTACCTACTTGCCCTGGTTTGAACGTTAAATGCACAGTTCCGAATACGGAGCGAGGTCTCCGCTAACGAAATAAATGTGCTTACCTATTCGATATAACTCATTATTCACGGGTCGCGCAACGAGAACCCGGCATTTAGACCAATTCCCCAGGCATTAGGTAACTTTGTAATTATTTATCCAACGATTGCTATCGGGAATCGTTGCAAATTTCCTTATACGGTCACACCATTATTGAATAGCATTTGAAAATTGTGTTGATGCCATTTTATTATCATAGTACAATGGTGATTATCTTCTGTCGAGTAAAGGAACATTTTACGTAAATTGCTTTCGTGAGAAATGAACAAATCATATGGAATCGGTAAACAAGTCGTTCAAAACAACAGCTGGAATTACCAGTTGTTATATTTAAAAATAAAATCAATAATTCCATTGTTAATTGTGTAAGAATGTGATTGTCTGAGAACAGGTAATTGTTTTTTATCTAAAACTGTTCGCATTAGGTTATTAGTTTTAGTTATTGAGACTATTGTTCGTATTAGTTATTGAGATTATTAAACACGGCTCTATTGTCGTAATAAACGAGTGAATCATGCGATTCGTAAAAATATAAGTTTCCTGTGTAATTTTTGCTCTTAAATTAATTTTCTTGAATTATGCTTATAATTAATTGATAATATGTAAAATTAATTTTATTAGATAATGCTCAAACAGGATTGATAATGTTTAAAATTAATTTTCTTTGATAGTTACATCTGACTTTAGTTGCGTGTGTACTTATTGGTAATATAGGAAAGATAGTTGTCGAAGAATTGAATTTTGTTTCCTTAAACACGAGGTAAACGCCGTTGCTGTAACCGAGCATATTCTCTTCATCAAGAGTAATTTAACTTGAGCGTTCCGTGTTACGAACACAGACGAAGCATCAATTTCCTAAATTCTGTTGCGTTACTCTCGGGGGTGCATCATATTCGTGAGATATGATCGATGCCCTGAAACTTCCTGACAGCAGTATGCTTCCCACAATACCCGAGAAAGACTCAAAGTATTTTCAGTTCGTGCTCCACTTTTTTAGAAGTAAAATTAATAGTGCGGATCTGTTCACATCTGTATTCTTAATGTGTATGATGTATATTCGTATGAATTAGCTGGTGCAACTGTGCAGAAGATTATTCTGAGGTCAAAAATAAATCGAAAAAGAAACAAAATTCCTTCGTTTGAAGTTCAATTGTTGACAAAATCGAGTTAGAAAATTCATCAGATACGCGTGTTACTAAATAAAAACTGGTTAAACTGGTTTGTTTCCGAGTTCCTGGTGTTACTACTTTTAAATCCGGAAAATTAAATGTTAAAACTCGACTTCTTCGATAATGGGATTTAAACGAAAAAATATTGTTTCTACATTTTAATTCACGTCACTTCTGTTCGAAATTATTTATTTCAAAAGAAGAAACGTCGCATTTTTAATGAATAAACTTCGAATGAATTTTGCTATTTTTATGAAATATCTATAAATAATTAATAGTAATTATAACAAAATAATTAGTGTACTTACGCAGGTATAGAGAACTAATGAAATTATAATAATTGATATGCATCTATTTTAATACTCCATTAAAAATAACTTACTCTTTTCTCATTGAAAATTGCATTATTACGTGTTAATTTTATTTTTACACTGTTGCCATAGTGACACGATAAATTTAGACGCTCGATTATCTTTGAATCAGCCATTTATCTTCCATGTACATAACAGAATTAACCTTCTATCCGATTGTACCAACACACCCTGCGTAATCTCTGTATAATATAGCTAATAATAGACGAACGTTTCTGGATTAATTAACATGTGATACGTAATCCAGAAAGCTTCCTTTCCCAATTGCGCAGCAAATGTTTCTCGATCTGTCAAGAAGATGAGCTCGGCTGTCAATTATGAAGGCAATAATCCGGAACAAAATCGTTCATCTTTTGTTTTTGTTCGAAAATTATCAGCGACATCTTATAAACGTCGACACTCATATTGCATTATACATTCCAGATTGTTTTGAAATCTATCTCTCCGTACAAAATGATTGATAAACAATGTTGATAATAATATAGATTTAAAAATTAAAAAATCCACTTTTTCAATTAAAGATACATGTATTACTAATTTATTAATTCTAGTACATTCTCAGTTCCCTCTAATTATATAACTAATTTATTAATATTATTATATCGTCAATTTCACCCATTTTCGTCATGTTCAATTAAATTTCTATATTGTATCTAGGCAAAGTAGATAAAGATAAAATTCTTCGCGAAAGATTGTGTCATGTCTCTGCGTTCGTTACCAGCGGAAGGGGTTGAAATAATTTCCGACGTTCTTAAGGGATTTCCTATCTGACAGATTTTCTGACACCGGGACAGCTAGTACGGCGTGTACCACGGTGACGGATTACGGCCGAGTGTCCGAGATAGCGGTGTCTGCACGTCGGAAATTAATTACGCGGCTAACGTCCGCCGGGTAAATACTTTCCGCAAACACAGGCTTCCCTACTGCCACGGAACATCACTGAATGAGCGAAGTATTAGGGTTACCGATATTACAAGACGTTGGGGCTCGAGGATACTGGGGCGATTCAGGATAAGGGTGTATCGTATCTAGTATCCTGCATTATTTCACTGTGAATCATTACCAACAGATTATCACCTTGGGGGTCCGCGAATACGACGGGATTAGAATAGGAACTCGATGAATGTGTTGTTTTTCTGATAACGGAACAATGAAAGATGTTTTATTGAGTACAGTAGAACCTCGATTAACGGTTTTAAAATTAGATTGAACCCTTTTGTCCAGAATGGTACACAGTGGTACCACGAACATTTTAAGTTACCGGAAAGTTGAAAAACGCATAGATAAAGGAAAGTTGTACCGCACGAGGATTTTTGCTTATGGCTGACAGCTTAAGTGCTAATCAGCTGTCAGTATATGTGCTTTTGTTGATTAGTGCGTAGCCGTAAGTTTTCTTTCACAAAACACATATTAAAAAAAATACATATTCATGGACGAAAGGGTTAACACGTTCACGTCGGCGCGCACCACCGGCGCGCAGTGTGATGGATCGCCAATCTAGCTGAACAGAATTCAAAACAAGCAATTCTTTTTGCCATTTTGGTATTTTGCCATCGTTCAGAACCTTAATTATCCTTAAATTGAATACTTCGAATTCTGAACCACTTGCTCCACAATATCGTGTCGAACTCGTGGGGAAAATTTCAAATAGACGTTAACAAATACGCGTGTGGCTGAACTCTTTAAAATTCAACTTACATATTACTTTTCTATTATCAATTGTTACACTTTAGATAAAACGTAGATGTAGAATGTTTTGAAAGAAATCATAGTGCAAGGGTTTCAATTGTACTTCAGGATATGTATATTTAAATTTTACAAACATTGTAAGATTTTTTCTCAAGTCTTTATTTATCTGGATTGTTAATCGCCCAATTAAATTGGATAATTGAGATCCTATTCTATCTAAAATATAGAGGTTAATGGTTAAAAGAGTTAAAAGGTTAATAAGAGTGTAATTTTCAGCCTATTGCCCGGTTTCTCTGAAACGTTCTGAAGGAAACG